AAGTTTTAAAAGACCTTTAAAAGTAATAATGGCACAATAACAGGAGGCATTATAACTTTCATAGTGTACAATTAAGTGATCAAAAATAAAAAGAACACTTGTGGGTTGATTAAAACAAACACACGTGCAAGATCCTGGATCAGGTTTCCATCAAGAGAAGAAGCCTATTCAGTTAAAAACAAGGAATAAAAATGAGGTCACTTGGGGACACCTGTGCCATGGAGTCACCTCGCCAGCCCAGAGACAGCACACTGCCTTTTCTCAAATAAATTTATTAAAGCGCAGTACATATTGTATATTGCTCAATAATTCATGAGAATTAGTTCATACGGGTAATCAAGTTGAAATTATAAATGGTGCATTGTAATATCTTCTACTCAGCATATAATTGTAACAGTTCATGGTGATCATCAACAATCCCAAAACAGGTTTACCATTAATAGAAATTTAAAACAAGTGCAAGTAATTTATGACAAACTCAGGATTCTAGTCATTCACTGTTTAGAATTAAAGAATGGAATTCCTTATTATGAATCATCATGGGATGTTACACAGCAATGCAGTTACACAACAATACAGTTACACAGCAATGCAGTGGCAGGACCAATGGTGCTGCATGAGATATCCCCCCCCCCCCAGGGATAGGAATGGAAGGGTCCATGATGCTGCCTGACATACCCCACCCCCAGGTAGGAGTAGGAAATCAACATAGGAAACACAAAAATACAAAAAAAAAAACAAAAAACGGATGAGCTCAAGACAAAAGAAATGAAAAACAGGCACTTTAGCACAGAGTTACTCTGTTAGTATCAGGAACATACACAGGTGGACCGACTGAATTACCCCAAATAATCATGGTCACCTGACTGCCTTCCCCAGAAGGATAGTGCCCTCCCATGCACACTTATGTTTACAAAGTCAGAAGTAGTTCGGAAATTTGGTCCCTTATTTAGAACCAAAAAACATGTCTGGTCTGATGAATCAAAGCCTGTCTGAGCCTGCCCCACCTTTACTATACAAACTATACGAACATGTAATGGAATAATTATGGTGAAGGCTCACTTATTAAAAACACCACATACACAGCAGATATGTTCTTTGCTTGCTTGTGGGCATTATTTACTCTGTTTCGGAAATATTGAATTTCATTTGACACACATCAAACATTTTTATTTTTAAATGTATTTATTTGAAGTTTACGTGTAATTTTTTTCATCTTTTGATGAGAGTGCATGCCCAGAGGAGGGAATGCATTACTTCAATAACCATCCCTCAAAATATCATCTGTAGGGAACTTCTAGACATTCATGTTTTTCGTGTTGAGCGGGACAGTTTTAGATGCTTTGATCATACTGACGATTTTCCATCTGCCCACGACTAACAAAGAAGACCTTTGTGAGGAGACTGAATCTGTTTCTATCCCAATGCTTTGGAGAACTGTAAAAGCTTCTGTACATATTTAACCATTAGGCATCAGGGGTCATTGCAGGCCACCGGTAATTTGAAAGCTGCAGACTGAAACTTGTGTGGCCTATTTGCATTATTCCTATTCGCTCCTATCTGAGAAGGTTTATTATTTTTCTCGCTTATCCCTGGCAGCCAACAGGCAGCCCTGTCCTGCCGGTGACGTCTTCCTATTCCTGGGCATATGATTCAGAACACTGTTATGGAGAACCTAATGGACCGTGACATCATTTATCGCTTTGCGGAAGTCCTTGTCTTATAAAAGAGAGAGCCAGAAATAAAACTTTCGAAGCATGAAAGTTTGCCTCCGTTTCCGTTCTGCGTCTCTGCCCGGACCTACCTGCTGGACAGCCAGGTCCAACCTGGACCTGAGACTGATTCTGGAAAGTACATGAGTCTGGAGACGCCTGCTTCCTAAGCAAATAAACCTCCAGTCAGCTTCACTCTCGTCCTCTTGGACTATTTGACCTGTTGCACTGTTTGCACCCACAGAGGAACTCGAATATTGTCACAGGAAAGAACGTCATCCTAACATGCATGAGTGACATTGAAGAAAGAATTATCTGTAACTTCTTTGCTCTATTTTTTGATTCTTCAGTATTTAGGACAATTATGCACTGCATGTGGGCTTGTATTCATTTTCTCCATTCAAAATACACTTAAATAAATATTAATTTAAGCAATGCTATATCTAGGGAATGTTCTTCCTGAGTTTGTGCAACGATCCTCTGGGTTCTCTGGCTTCCTGCTGCAATTCAAAATCATCCAAAGTCATGCAGTTAGGTGAAGCTGTGTCTCTAAATTGCCTTAGTGTGGCAGCATGTCTCCAGTGCAGTGGCAGTCTCAAGAAAAGAAAATGTAACATTCACATAATGATCCCATAATACAGTGGCCGCCAACCAGTTGTAGTCAATCACAACACCTTCACACCGTTCCACCCCTGAGGGTGACCACCCCGATAGAAAAAATCTACCGAAGGGTGACCCCCGCCCGACTCGGTAACTCCTTAGAGTATTTTCTTTGTGAAAGTAACTATCATTGTAAAAAGGGTTGGAGACCACTTAAAATATCTTTTTAATGCCAAGGTATAATCACAATGACCATTTCCATATGATACCAAAAGATTGCAACTGTTCAACGAATGTCTGCCAAAGTACTGTGCAAAACAGCACCACCTTAAGGTTAGTAATAGGAACTTGAGTGAAGCAAAACAATTCTGCCTCACTAAGCTAATCGACTTCAATATATGTTTCATCATCTTCTCTTTAGTAGCTGATTGGATAGTTATGAAATATGACACGCTTTTAAACCCACCCAGAGAAGCATTGTCTCACCTAGGCTTTACAATTACATACGCTCTTGTATGTTCTCAACACAAAGATGATTGATACACGTTTAGCCACTCAGAACTTGAGCCATCAGACAGTAAAAACCCATTTGTTCACCAATGTTTCTTGTTGGTTTGTGGACAAGGAATTGGTATGCTGTAAGTGAATGAGCCAAGAGTTAAAAATACTTTGATTTGTAAATACTGTTCTTGCTGACTGCAGATAATCCTGTGCATATGCTGTAAATAAGAACATTCGTTTTATTTGTTTTGTATTGTGTAAAAGGAACATGTAATCATGCAAAAAGTCTTTGGGAAATGTGAGGATTAGAATTTGCACCCGTCTTGTATATTACACGATCACCATGCTGAAAAATAAATGCTGTGTCCTGTTTTGAATGAACATGGGATGCAATTTGTCCGATATTTCTGAACCGCGTGATCGAGGTGACACAATGAGAGTAAGAACTCCAACAACACATGAAACTATAGGGAGTTGCAATGATGTTTTGACTTTTGTTGGGGCGTTTGTGTTGAACATGTAATGTTGAGCAAAATAGTAAATGTAAAGCTGTGCAGCCAACTCACCAGGAAAAGCAGCCAGGAGAGAGATGGAAGCCTGCTCAACATATAGTTACAGATCAGATCCACTTCTCTGAAGCTCAAAGGTCCAAAGGTGAAATCACTCAGACGTCCCTGAGATTAGAGCCAGTGATTTTCCAATTACAAACACAGCATCCTAATCGACTAGTCCACACACCACCTTTGTCTTTTCTTTATCACAAAAAAGTCAATGATTAATTTATCTTAATCTTATCTACAAAGTAATATATAGTAAAATTTGCATCAAGTTAGAGCTGGTGTGATGACACAGTGTTTAACACTGTTGCCTTATATCTCTGGTTTGAATCTCTGCTATAGGGTCCTATGGTTGGAGTTTCCATGTTCTCCCCGTGTCGTTGTGGGGTTTCCTTAAGTCCAAAAACAAGATGAATTGGAGTTATTAAATTGGCACTAGGTGTGACTGGTATGTGAGTGTGCTCTGCAGTGGGTTGGCACCCCATCCTGGGTTGTTCCCTACCTTGTGCCTGTACCTTCCAGAATAGGCTCTGGACCCCCCGTGACCCTAAATAGAACAAGCAGCTGCAGGTTCAGAAAACAGATGGATGCCTGAAATTACCAGCTTTAATCATTAATATATATACACCATAAGTCTTTCCACATGTGAGATATATATGTGTGTGTGTGTTAAAAAAGATATAATACTCAAAATGATCAAGGAAACATAAAATGATGCTGTGTCTTGAGGTTTACATGTCCTGGGGGGGGGGGGTCTACCTTCTTTTCAGAAAAATCATCTCTGAAAACTTCCTGCACATCTCCCATTGGTCAGGTCTTCACCGTCCCTGTTTCCAGGTAAGTGACCTTCTGCCCACCCTGAGACGCTGAGGCCCCTTTCTAACGTGAGCTGCCATGACAGTGCCCCAAGACACCCGTACCCAAAAAAAACACACATCTCTAACCTTCAGAATGCAAAGAAAACAGCTTCAGTGGCTAGTCACGCACGTTGAAGCTACAGGGTCAGTTCTGACACAGATGTGAGGAATGTCATGGGCGAGCGTTTTTAGTTCCTGCTCCCTTCTCACTTCCAAGGACAAACGAGAAAGCAAAAAGCAGCTTTGCATTTGTCATTAATTTCTTTTGTAATCCCCAGAAGTAAAAGACATTGGCAGCTATCATACTGACGTATTTAAAAACAGAGAGAACCAGTATTCAAACAAGGGGTTTAGGAGACACAAGACTGACACATCGATTCTGTAACAACGAAAAAATGAGGATGAACGTTGGACTAAGACTTTTTCTCATTGTGGTTGCTGAGATCAGTCCTGGCACAGTAGCTTTAGGTAAGTCTTCCTGATCTGTGAACTAATCTTATAGATACCAGTGCGCCGCATCTCACAGAACAGCAATCTGCATGTGACTTATTCAGGGAATTCTGCTTCTTATATTAGCAGGAATCCACTTCAAACAGCAATAATGTTTTTTTCTAAGTAATAAAACTTGGATCTTTTTTGTGTTTTGTTTCTTGGCATGTGGTTTAGAATCTGCTTTTGGAAATTTCCTGTAATTTGCAGCGAGCATTTTGGCATAATCTGCACTAATCCTAACTTTTTCAAAGCAGCAAGTTCAAACGGGGACTGAAGTATTAGGTTACTAAAGATTGACGTCCATTCCACAGTTTCTCTGTAGGCATTAAATATAAACTGAAAGATAATCGATTCTCCTGTTTTATCTAGTCAGTACATGAAATGTCCACAGGTAATGAACAAAATTGAACTTGTCAGCTGAGCAGAGGTCTACATTAATGTCACCACACACAGTTGTCTACCGTCTAGCAAACCTTCTTGTCCTACAGCAGTATGTAGATGAAAAGGACACACAGTGAAGGTCACGCTTCCTCCGCTTGTGCCGTTTGCCCCGAGTTCGTGAGGGTCTCCCCGTCACTGTTATCACCTGCCGGAGTGACAGTGTGACACGTCTGCTGAGCAGTTGCTCTGCCACTTCTGTCAGATGTGAAAATGTTTGAAAATTTAACGCCAGTCCCTCTTTGTATTAAGTTATATCTGGATTCCTCACAGCTTGCTGCTTGATGTTTTATGCCAGAGAGCCATAAAATTATAGACATCTGTGTGTGTTTGCTTAGAGCTCCTCTCCATTTGACTTCTCACAAGGTCGTACTCTTAAGTGAGCTGCATCTCTTGGACTACATGTTTTTTATGCTTCTTCAGTACTGGTAGACCCAGCCTGGACCTTGAATAATGTACACAAGTTATCGTTGTGGCTGAAGGGAACAGTTTTAGACTAAATTTTTCCACTTATACCCAGTACTGAACTTTCATATGAACTTTTATAGTAAAAGACTTATAATAAATAAGACACAAGGGTAGTATTCTACATATTTTGAATTTCACGCATGAGATGAACATTTTTCATATGTTCTGAAGAGAGCTGACAATCTTTCATTCAGCATTGAACTTGGCATTAAAAACAAAGAATAGAGTCAAAGATATTAAATCAAGGTACCTCTTTACAATAAGGATACCCTTTGCTACTTATAAATGGTACTAACTCATTAATAAGAAGAAAACCGTGGTATAACTTGTTTATAATTGTCTAGTAATGATTTACAAAGTGTTACAATATAATTAATAACCTGCTTATAAACCATTCATAATCCCTTTATAAGGGTAGCCTTATTGTAAAGTGGCACAAAATCTATTATATGTATATGTTCTTGATGGGATTTCCCAAGTGGTGCATTAATTCACACGGTAAGCTAGGATCCCTTATGTTTAATGCCACATATTTTTTTATGCCTTAAAGTTGCTCCACGTTTTTGTAAACGTGTCAAGTAATGTTTGTAATTCATAAACTAAAAGGGGTCCTTTATTCTCTGTGTGTCTCACTGAAGCTAGATCCTATTAAATTTATCCTACGAAAAAACACCAGGCCGGCACGGTAGTTCGCTGGGTGTTAAGTTTCCCCTTTTTTGTGTTTGGATTCGTGCAGGGAGGCCACATCATGTGCGGCCTTTCCCCCCTGCGGGGGACTTCCTTTCTTGCCCTAATGGCATGATTGACCACACATGCCTCCAAATGACTCGTGGGCCACGGTTCAGCTTTCTGACTCACAGGCAGTGGCGCTGACATCCTCCCCAGAAGCGACGCAGAGCTACCATCTCCGCTCACGTGCGAGTCTCATTCCCGGCTCCGGCTAGGACCTCCTGGCCCCAGCCCACCACTTTCACACATAAAAGGCTGTTTTTGCGTAAATTAGTTTAATAGCCGCTCGGTCTGTATTATCTCAGGAGAAAAGAATGCAAAACAATGAGCTTCCCAGCAAACAAATGTGAGTTTACTGCATGAAATACACAGGGGTGATCTGAAATATATTTCTGATAAAATACAGAGAAATGAGAACATTTCAGTAATGTTGATTCAGTCTTAAAAATACAGAGATAAAATAGTTGCCTTTGCCGACATATAATACTGTTTTTCTTAAGAAAAAGTAATAAAAGAGACTTGTGCCAAAGTTTAGGCACATGCCAATACAAACCAGTCTGTTTTTTTTTCACTGAAATTAACTGAAGCATGGAAACGCATGTTAGAGTATTAACCACATCAAAGCTTCATGCAAATTTCAACAATATACACGCCGAGAACGGAAAGCAGCGCTAAAAAACAAAAGGCCTCCAAGCATGTAGTGTCTCAGTGCTGTGTGGTCCCGGCCGGCTTCCCCTTCCCCTGTCTTGAGCCTATGAGCTGGCTGGGGGCCTCTCTTTCAACACACCCCGGGCTTTAAAAGGGCCAGGCTGGAGGTCTGCGGAGGCACTCGTGTCCTGCGCAGCTGTAGGAGGCTCTCAGAAGCGATGCAGTCGGCGCAGCGCCGCCGTCCCGATCGGCTGCTCCTGCTTTGCGTCCTGCTCGTTGTCCCCAGCGACGTGCAGCTCACAGGTGAGGACAGCGTCAGGTGGCGTAGGGGTTGGGCGTGTTTTGGCAGGGCACGTGCCGCACTCCCAGGTATCCCTGTGACGATGTCCTGCTGCAGGCTGGGTGTCTGTTTCTCATCCTGCTTGCGTGAAACATTAGGATATAATCAGGTAGCTAAGCTTGTCTTTTTTTGCAGTTTTTTTGTCACTTTCTAGGTTAATCTCTGCAGCATGTTATTCAGAGTTTTCACTTCAGTATGGCCACCTTCCGGAATCTGCTGCTGGGCTCTGGCGCGGCAGTAGGGGCAGTACTTCACGAGTGCTTCCAATGCTGCTGTGTTGCTGCTTTTAGGGGCAGACCTGTTCTGGGTTTGTGATGGCTGCTTCCTGCCCTCTTGTGTCAGATACCCAGGAGAGAGAGCCAGCTTACTGGAATGCCCAGGCCAGGGAGACCCTACAGACTGCGCTGAAGTTGCGTCCACTGGACCATCGCGCTAAGAACATCATCTTATTCTTGGGGGATGGTAACCATGCACCAGCGGTCATATACATAGAAATACTAAACCAGTCTAAAGTTCTATTTGATATCCTTTCCAACACTGATGAAAGTACTCAAGCTATCTATCTAACCGAAAAATAGCTAGCTACCTGATATTCTGGAACAACAGGGGCTTCCACTGTTAACAGATAACTAAATTTGAATCAGAACAAAGATTCTGATTCACTTCCTTTCAATGGGGTGATCAGACCCTTGAGTCACACAACCTTTACGAAACCGTAGAGCTATTCTTGTTGAACACTAAACCAAAACTCAACCTAGACCATCAGCCACACACGGATAGGATTGCTGTGCCACTGGGCCTGAATGTAGCATCCAGTCTCTCAGCACTATCATACTATCCATGCTGTTGTCCATCAGTTCTTAGACCGTGCTGTAAAGGCTCTCCTTAATGGGTTCTTTACTTTTGTTGAGAATTATCTAGAAAGAATTTCTGTTGAGTCTATAATTAGAAATGATGTATTGAACTGAAAATGGTTACAGACCTGGAACTTCTTAGTCCTTATTCCTGTGTTTATGTTTCGTATGCTTTGAGCGGTTTTGAAGGAACTCATTTGGACACCAGAGTTTGAACTTAGAAGTCTGGTGATGCGTCTTTCCGTAGAAGGGCAGAGTGCCGCTCCATTGCGTATGAGCGGGAGCCTCAGGCCACTAGCATGGCCTGTGGCTGAGCCCCTGCTACCCCTCTCTGCTGCAGGGATGGGGGTGTCTACTGTGTCAGCGGCGCGCATTCTGCGGGGGCAGATGGAGGGCCACTCAGGGGAGGAGACGGTGCTGGCCATGGACACCTTTCCGTACCTCGCCCTGTCCAAGGTCAGCCGACTGGGCCAATCCTCAGTGTTCCTCTATGTGCCTGTACATGTACTGTATGTTTATCTTGCTTTCACAGTAACCTGATTCATGTGTCCTGTCACTTTAACACAGTCTCTTTGTTATGAAAACACTACAATTGTATTATTCAATGAGAAATTACAGAGATGTAAGTTTAAGAAATGAAACCTTGGCCCTTATAAATTACAACTTGGATAATATATAAATTGCACTGATTTATAAATCCTGGGATCTCATCCAGGATGCTTCCAAGCCTTGTGCCCTGTGCTTCCTGGGACCGGCTCCAAGCTAACCATGACCTTGTACTGGATAAGTGGTTTGAAGATGATGGATGGATGATCGGATGGATAATTTATACGCAGTTAAAGGAGAATGGCTCAGCCACGGCGCCACAGTGAATTTGTATGATTTTATATATTGCGTTGTCAATGCTGCCGGCAGACATACAGCGTGGACAAGCAAGTGGCGGACAGCGCGAGCACGGCCACAGCCTACCACTGTGGCATCAAGGCCAACGCCAAGACGGTGGGTCTCAGCGCTGCCGCCGTGCCCTACCAATGCAACTCGACCTTCGGCAATGAGGTGCAGTCTGTGCTGCACCGCGCCAAAGCGCAAGGTACCCCCACACGGGCACTCTCCGCATCCGCTAACCCTACTCTCTGTGTACTGCTCTGCAGTGATATATTCTCACAGGTGTATACATGTATGCACATATGCATGCAACATCAGTGTGTACAGTATATGTAGTGATCTATAGGCGGCCAAAGTCAAACTTATTTAAGACCATATGATTTCTGAAAATCATACTACATGTGATACCTCTATGAGGAAAGATAATTGCCCTAATTCTCCTGTCCTTTTGTTTATATTACCTACTTGCATAAAAGTAAACCGTAAATTAGCACATAAACTTTAACTGTTTTTAGCTAGGTCACAGCCCAGTGCTGGATAAACAGGTGGTAGATGCATGGTTGGATTTTAGCAATTTTAAACCAGTTATATATTTAGTGTAGCAATTAGTTGAGTTTTGGTGCTTTGCATCTGCAGAAAGAGGCTCACCAGCTGCTCACAGCTGCTTTGAATAAACGTTCAGCTGACGGTATTGAGTGTATTACATCATGCGCTGCTGTAGCTGTCATGTGGCCACAGTAGGATCATATGGCCACAGTCAGGAAGTATCTGAGACGTCTGTTTGTCTTCACATGGCTGCTGCCTCCTCGCTCCAGGCAAATCGGTGGGCATCGTGACCACCACGCGCGTCCAGCACGCCTCGCCGGCGGCTGCCTACGCCCACTCAGTGAGCCGCAGCTGGTACAGTGACTCCGACATGCCCTCCAGTGCCCGGCGGCAAGGTTGCACGGACATAGCCACGCAGCTGGTCGCCAATACCGACATTGATGTAGGAACATGCCTCATGCTGTGGTCCGCTAACCCTGAGCCCTATTTGACACAGTCGCTGAGTGCGGGAGGGCAATCCCAGAGCTCACTTCCCGTCTCCCTTAGGTGATCTTGGGTGGGGGTCGCATGTACATGACGCCAAAAGGGACACCAGATCCTGAGTACCCCACCTCCACCTCCCGCCAAGGGGACCGAAAGGACAAAAAGGACCTGATAGATGTTTGGCTGAAGGCCAGACAGGTAACTCAGCAACAAGTTTGAATTAATTAATTTCAATGGTGTGTTTAGGGACAACAGGACCCTGTACTGAATCAGAACATATGAATGAATGAATGAATGAATGAATGAATGAATGAATGAATGAGTTATTTACTGAGGTCAAAGTGATTTACAAATTGATGTTCAGTTTGCTCTGTTTTAATAATATTTTGTTCTGGATTTCAGTCAAGGAATGCACAGTATGTTTGGCACAAGGAGCAGTTTGATGCTGTGGATGTGAAATCCACAGACAGCCTCATGGGTAAAGTCATGCAGCATTGATGCATTCTGAAATTAAATGATGTCACATGTGTTCAGGGAACACAATGAAATTCTTGTGCCATGGATCTGGGGGGGGGGGGGGGGTGCATATGGGCATAGGACATAGGACAAACGGCAGTAAAAGACAATACAATACAATTTAGAATAAAAAAGCTTGGGGGCAAAGTGCAGACTCTGATCATTCTCTGAACATTCCCTGAACACTTTGCTGTGGCATATGAGAAGTAATGGACATCACCTAAATGTACCAAAAACACTCTGGAGGTCATCTAATCAGCTTATCTGAACCCTGTCAGTTTGTTTGTTTTGTGTATATTAAAGTTATGCCCTCATTGGCCACCATATTAGGTGCATCTAACTAGTACTGGGTAGGATCTTCCAGAACCACTTCAAGAGCAGATCATCCTCTCTATACACCACTGTGGTACAGAGCTATTATTTTTACATATGTGTTTACTGTAAGAAGTCTGGCCATTCTTGTCTGATCTCATTCTTTAATGAGGTGTTTTCAGCCACAGAAATGCCAGTGACTGGATGCTTTTTATACATTAGATGATTCTTTGCAAACTCTAGACACTGAAAATCGCAGGATGGTGAATGTTTTTTAGATGCTGGAAGCACCACGTCTGGCAACACCAATCATATCATGCTTAAAAATGCTTATATCACACATCTAAGCCATTCTAATGCTCAGCCAAACAGCACCTCAACCTAATGACGCTGTCTGTGTGCTGTATGTATTTAACTGCAGTAACATGATTACTATTTGGAGAAGCAGCCTGTTTGCATTTGCAAGCAGGTGTACCTAATAATTGGCCCTCCATATATGTCAATCCAAATTACATTTCTGGATTGTGCAAATATTTTAGGTTCGATACCCATAATCTAAATACAGATGATACATGAACCAGTATATGTTATATTAGTGTTATATATCACAGTCTGTGCAGAAAGGAAACAGTTCGTAAATGCGTTTTTTCCTTCACCTTTTTTAAACATTTAGCTGCTCCCACATTTTCAGATCCTTCACCAAAAGTATACCTCTATTGCAGATGTGAAATACCACAAATTGTTTAAAGTGAACACTGATCAGCAGCTATGTTAGGTGAAGTTAATTAGTCTGAAAGGTGTCCAGTTAAATAGCATGTGTACTGAGTCCTGTTACACATGCAATACAAAGATACACACTCTTGACACACTCATGACAGTATTAATTTGGTAAATGAGCCGTACTATATTTTTCATATCTGGGCAAAATGGGTTGCATGTTATGTATAGATAATTACAGCTTATAGAATTCCTGGGGCCTGTGCACTGCCTTTGTCGACAGTCAGTTAGTTTGTTCTCTAGCTTGCACACTACCAGTGGTGCGTGAATTGGGTGACGCGCCAGTGCCAGGCCGCGATGGTCCTCTTTACACAGTGATCATGTTTCTGCTTCAGGCTTGTTTGAGCCTAAGGACATGAAGTTTGAGCTGTTCCGAAACAGCACACGAGACCCGTCCATTGTCGATATGACAGAGAAAGCCATTCACATCCTCCGCAAGAACCCGAAAGGCTTCTTCCTCTTTGTGGAAGATAAGTATCTTACGGATGATATGACGGTAGGAACCAGTACAAATGGCTGTTCGACTAAGCAAGGTGTCATGTGATATAGCTGTTAAAATTGTTCAAAAAGACACAGGAAATATTGGAAGCAAAGATTTTAAAACATTTTAATTGTAATTAATGAATCGATGGGGGAAAATCATGAGTGGGCAAATGTAAAAGGTTTTGTTTTCTGTGAATTAAGAGGGAGAATCGACCATGGGCATCATGACGGTATCGCTAAGCTAGCCTTGACTGAGGTGGTGATGTTCGACCGTGCAGTGAAGATCGCCTCCCAGCTGACGGACGAGTCCAACACCCTGACCATCGTCACTGCTGACCACTCTCATGTCTTCACATTTGGAGGAAATACCCCCCGTGGAAATCCAATATTTGGTAGAGCTCCTAGTTTTAAGCGTACAGAGTTGTATCTGTTTTGCTTTCGTTAAGCTTAATTTGTATTACTCATGTCAATCAGGTCTTGCACCCAAGAATGCAGATGATATGATGCCCTTCACCAGCATACTGTATGCTAATGGACCAGGGTACACACACATCAATGGGACACGAGCGAACATCACAGCAGTGGATTACTGTGAGTTTGAGCTTGATTCTGCACACGGATCTGTGAAGGTTTTAGCTATTAGCTTTTCATATGCAGGTATTAGCTGTTAGCTTTTCATGTGCAGGTATTACCAATTAGCATTTCATGTGCAAGTATCATCCATTAGCTTTTCATGTACAGGAATTAGCCATTAGCTTTCATGTGCAGGTATTAGCTATTAGCTTTATTTGTGTAGGCATTAGCCTTTAGCTTTTCGTGTGCAGATATTTGTTGCTAGCCTTTCTTTCCCACAACACACTCATCCTCTTTCTGTCTGTCTATCTGTCCACCAGTGGATGAGGAGTACATGCAGCAGTCTGCGGTCCCCCTGGACTCCGAGACACATGGCGGAGAGGATGTGACCATTTACGCCAAGGGCCCCATGGCCCATCTCATCCATGGGGTGAAGGAGCAGAACTACATTGCCCACGTGCTGGCCTACGCAGCCTGCCTGGAGCCCTATGCTGACTGCCCCTCTGACTCGGTGAGCCCCAGCAGGGCTGAACCTTTACGTCCCAAGTTGCTCCTGTGCTTAGCTGCCATAATGTGGCTTGTGCCTACATGACATCGGCTACCATCGTCCCCTTCCCAGAGACAGTGTCTTCAGCACACCTTCCAAAAACTCCTGAAGGTAATCAACATACTCGATGGAGAGTATTACTCAGGAAAGTCTGACTTGATCCATTGTGTTTCCTCATAACACCTGAGTTCTGATTTCTGTGAGACACCAAGCATTTTTATAGTTACATGATGTTTATGGTATTTTGCAGACCAGCGTTATCACATGGGGGACATACAGACACTAATAAAGAAATAATGAATGTTTAAGTTGTCAAAATTTCAAGGTTGTTTCTTTATAAATATCAGTTTAATAGATATTGAAACACAACCTGTACATCAGAATGCAATCCAGACTGAAACTAGTATAATTTTTTTTTTTGGATCTGTTATAGTAACTTGCTTTTTAAATAATTCCTACACATGATTACAAAAAGGGATACATCTCATCATCATTTCCTTTTATGGTAATTTGATGTACAATATTATGTTTTGAATAATAAAAGGTTCTTATGATTTTTGTGTCTCTTGGTATTATTTCTTTTTGTTTTACAGTAGTTCTTTATTGTAAAGCAGTAAGGATGTGTTTGTATTTGAAATGACTTACACTGGATATCCATCCATCCATCCATTTTCTGGAACCACTTGTCCTATTCAGGGTTGGGGGGGGGGGGGTGCTGAAGTCAATCCTGGAGCCTATGGGTGCAAGGCAGGGAACATCCCAGGATGGGGAACTAACCAATCACAGGTCGCACTTACATACCATACATACGCATATACAGGCAATGTTGCAACTCCTACTAGCTTCAGTATGTTTGTGGATTGTGGGGAGTACCCAGATGATACCCCACAACAACACGGGGAGAACATGCAAACTCCACACACATGGCATCCTATCAGAGACTTAAAGCCTGGTTGCAGAGGTGCGATGCAACAATGCAAACCACTGCACCACCATGCCTCCCCTGCACTATATCTAGCTTGCATAATATCTGTAATTGAATATTATCAGCAAAGTGGTAATGCCAAGTTCTATTGTACAAATGAATTAAAAAATTAATTTTGACATGTGATATCTTTGTGATGTATTTGTGTTTAATATTGTCATATTCTGCAGAGAGTTCCATATTACGCTGCTTTTCCAGCCGACTTGTTTTTTGATGTTTATATTCAATGAAGTCTCTTTGACAAAATTCTGCTTGAGTAGTACAGTTTGTTGTGCCTTTGTGTCAAAAGAATAACTTAAATATAGTTGCTGGCTTAAATTTATTCTGAGTACAACTTGATGGTACACAGGCTTTATGGAATCTTGCAAATATGGTTCTGATCATGGATTTTCCGGAGCCTTTAACTGCCTGTAATAGAGCTGTAAACCCCATTATAACTCAATGATTCTTCTACCTCCACATACCAGTTAATGAAGGGCTTATTTTAAAGCTGCAATTCCTTGAACAGATGTAAGGTTTGAACTTGAATGAGTAAACACCAACATCAACGGTGTGGTTGGATTTTTTTTTTAGGAAAAGTTGTCAGGCAGAATGCGGTCTTACAAGAACAAAAAATTATATATAATTTTGTATCAAGATCCAATGTTTTGTTCCATTACATGACATAAGATTTTTTTTTCTTGTAATTAAGATAAAGATTAGTCATTTCATTTTATTAATTAGCCCATCTATTTTCCATACCTGCTTATCCAGCACAGTGTCACAGTGATCCTGAAGGCAGTGTAAAGCATCAGGCAAGGGAACACCTTGGAGAGGATACCAGTCCATCGCAGGGCACACACACACACACACACACACACACACACACACACACGCACATGTAGGGAAAAAATATACTTATGGGGACCGCTCATTCATTTCAATGGGAAAAATGCTAACACTAACTATGACAACCTTAACCCTTGCATTTTTAGTTTTTTCATAACAGTCACCGATTTTTATAAAACCGGTCCCCATAAGGGAAAAAAACGGATATTTATCACGTTATGGGGACATTATGTCCCCATAAGGATAGGTAAACCCGCTCGCACATACACACACACACACACACACACACATACAGGTTTGTAATTATATTATTGTGGGGACTCGCCATTAATTTCTATAGGGAAATCTCTAATCCCAATATGATGACCTTAACCCCTACCCAGCCCTAACCTTGACCAAAAGTAACCAAACAAAATATGAGACTTTTGGCATTTTTAGTTTTTTGATTGCATTCATGGATCTTTTTGGGGACCTGAAAAATGGTCCCCACAAAGTCAAAATAACAGGATTTTATTACATTGTGGGGAAAATTTGGTCCCCACAATGTAATATGAACATAATCTACACCACACACACGCACACACACACTGAGCAATTTAAAAATGACTTTGCACTGTAGGGGAAAACAAGAGTAAAGTACTAAGGTGTACATTAGTACATTTGGGTATAATCGGTAGTGACACGTCCCTACCAAGATTGGGGAAGGACATGTGTTTTTTGGGGGGGGGGGGTTCGGGACTGATGTGGATAGGTAGTAGATTTGTTACCAGACCTGGTCATGTAGCCAATGCTATGACAGGTCCAAAAAGCACTGGAATTAGGGGTTATGGTCATCATGAGCTGCAACTGCTCTAACCTTTCAGTCACAGTGCCGATAGCTTGGGGCTACAGGACCAATAAGCTCAATACCTTCGACTCTGGAGCTAGGGTGTTTATATAGCCCACAGAGCCTGCAGCAGGTCCTGGTCTGCTCACAGGTCACAGAGGGCATCTACTGTATGTTGAGTAGAACTATGCAAAACTAGCCCCCCCTGCTGAACTGAAGCAGTCATGACAGATAGAACCTGCACCCTGGGGAATATTGGTGATATAGCATATAGAAATTACATTATCATTATACTGTATGTCAGGGAGCAAATGGAATTTCATTACAATGTGTTCACCAAATGGCTTAATTAAAAAAGTTCTCCTACAACACATGCTGACTGTTAGATCACAGAGCAGAGTCACAGTGAGTTGTCACATTTGCTGGTTGTTAACAGAGGCTTTGTTCACTCTATCAATGAGCTCCTGGAAATATTAGCCATATGTAAGCTGACAGTCAAAGAAGCCCCTAAATTGGCTGATGTCAGGGCAATAATACTAAATCTATGCCAGTTTGATTGTAATTCATCGTTTGCTTACTCACCTTTCTATACCTCTAAGATGCAAAGTCCCTCATTTTAATTGGTCATTTTCAGATGCAGTGGCAAATGTAAAATTAGTGAAGGTTTCTGTGAAATTTGAGTGCATATGGTCCCCACTTTGCATAAGTGAACGGAAGAAGTCAGATGACAGATTTTATGTGTCCTATAGAGCATTGGTCCCCAACCTTTTTGCCACCACGGACCGGTTTTATTCTGTTAACATTTCCATGTACCGGGGGGAGAGGGGAGGGCGTGTTAAGAGACATGTGGAGATGTGTAACGGTCCCCAACCTTTTTTGCGCCGTGAACCAATTTCATGTAAAACAATATTTTCACAGACCGATATAGAAACAACTAAAAACAAAGTGCATAAAAATACAACTCACCATTCCACTGAAGTAGTGTGAGCCCAGAGCTTGTTTCCCTCTTACGAGCCTGTCCTGTCAACTTGATCTACTTTGTCAAGTTAGGCTACCATAGTGCTAATCGATAGCCCTAACCCTTACCCTAACTCCTAAAACCTAACCCTAATCCCAAGACGGTGGAACTGCACGTGTGCAGAAAGGCTCGATAACACGTCTTGATAGGTAGCTCAACTCGTCAGAACCCCGGGTTGAGGGAGGGAACAAAGATAATGAGGTGCACAATATTTAACTACAATAAAATCACATTATAATGGACTTCAAGGGACCTGGCAAAACAGTCCATTATATACAAAGTCCGTTATATCCAGAGTTACTGTATGCCCAGAACACAACTACAGGACATCATTTACTCATGCCACACCCCAGCAGACACACTTGTGGTATAGATTATTATATTGTAGATGTAGTTATCCAACATTACCTAACCAGATGCGTGACTATTAATAATCCCGACTATGTATCTCTGCTGGATATCACCGGCACGCCACGCACCTACAGTGCACTACAGATAAAAGCAGCCCTGGGGACCAAATTGTTTGTCCGTTATAAGCGAAATTCTGTTATATGCAAGTCCACTTTATCTAATTCTTTTTCTGCATGTTCTTAAAGCCGCAAGGTCAGGACCAGTGGACCTCTTCCATTATAGATGATATTCTGTTATAAGTGAGTCCACTATAACGGGATTTTACTGTAATAGTTCTTCTGGATGGCAGATTATTAAATGAATCTGAAATTACTTCTTTCAGTCCTTTGTCTTCTACTGTGTTAAAAGGGCAACAGTTTCTAGCTATCCATTTAGGTAAAGCACCAAGTGCGTTGCCTTATCGTCACCTATGACCCACAGATGGAAGTGTTTTCCAAAATAAAACAGCCTCTGTTATCCGTTCGCCGCGGCCCGGCACAAAATGCTCCACGGCCCAGTACTGGTCCGCAGCCCGGTGGTTGGGGACCCCTGCTATAGAGCACACAAAACAGGGACAAAATGCAGCCCAAAACACCTCATTATACATGCACCAACTCTTCACAATCCTTTTTAAAACAAAAACAACTAACAGTTGTTTGGAAAAACAGACTTTTTCAGTTTACATGAAAAAAGCCCCAGGATTTCATTTTACTGCAATATATATAAATATGGAAACATCCATCCAACATTATCCAGTGCAGTTCAGTAACAATACAATAAAATAATACCACGATATTTCCATTAGAATATATAAGGTTTAACTTAGAAATAAGCAAAAAATAATAATAATTTTATTAATGATCTATTATACCATCAATTTTCCATAATTGTTTATCCAGTACAGAGTCACAATGAGCCAATTTAGAAATGATAGTTCACCTAACTGCACGTCTTCGGATTTGGACCATGGAGCTGATTTATAAATGGTTTGTATGAACGAAAGATGAGAAACATTTGTACGCACATTTGCACAAATATTTTGGGACTTACAAAGAAAAACGTTTAGGCCTACTAATGTTTCAGGGAAGCACAAATGTTTTTGGAGGAAATGGAAAAAAGCGACATCTAGAGTTCAGATAGAAGTGTGCGTCTAATTGTCATTAATGGTTAGTTTTAGTGATTGGTGAAATACGTTTTAATACAGATATATTTGTATTACATCTGATATACAACTAACATTCAACATTTGGGTTGAGTAAACGACATATTGTTTTAAATGAATGAATTTATATATATCCAGGGTGGTATCCAGGGTTTTTTTTAAATACTGAGGTCAATTCTGTGATCCCTTCCTAGGCTTGCCCCGCAATGGATCGTGGTTATTGGAGTTTCCGAAAAAATACTGAGGACTTGACCCCGGTGTCCTCACTGATACTGTAGGTACGGGCATGTATATAGCAATCTATTTATTGCGGATAATCGAAGTTAGAGGTGTGTATACTGAAAA